TGTGAGAGGGCATTGGAACTGGCACTTACTTTATTTCAGGTCCTGCTCCTACAGTTTTGTGTATTATATTGGGCACATTTTGCTTTGGGATAAGGCTATAAATTTCTAATCCTGGGCTTCGTTCGTCTCTATTTTTGAAAAAGCTAGAGAGCATCTCAGCAGTTAAAAATTTGATTTGATTCCAACTGAAGACTTAAAAATTAATTAAAATCAGCACAATTTTATTGATATGATAAAAGCATCCTGGAAATCTAGGGTGTGCTAAAAATCATTTTGATGCTCTGAAAATGGCCCATGAAGTCTAGACATCAAAGTAGGGAATTTTGTGTTTTAATTAATCTTTGCAACTGCTTAAATAAAGCTGTTGGTGGTTATGCAGTAAAATAAAGGCACTGCCTGTTTTAAAGAAATGTTCTAATTATGTGTGATTTTCTTGATACTATCACATAATTGCCATATAAACTATGGTGGTAGTGGTGTTGATGTGCTGTGGAGTTGATTTTGACTCATAGCAACCCTGTATAGTACAGTGTTTCCAAAGCTGTAAATCTTTATAAGAAGAAAGCCTCAGCTTTCTCGCATGGAACAGCTGGTAGATTTGAACTGCTTATCTTGCAGTTAGCAACTCAGCTCATATTCCACTGTGCCACCAGAGCTCCTAGTATAAACAGCATAAGGTGAAAAGTTAACTGTACAGGTTATGCAGTTAGACAGATCCTGAGTTTAATTCTTACCTCCTCCACTTGCTCCCTGAATGACCTTGGACAAGTTACATACATTGGATATGTCATGTTTTCTAAGCCTCATTGTCCCCATCTGTAAAATGGGAGTGATAATTGCACCTAGATCAGTGGGTTGTAGGAAATAAATGAGGTAATGCATTTGATAATGTACTCACTGTACTTCTTAGTACATTGTAAATGATCAGTACATGGTGACAGATTATAAACCAAGGAAAAAGAATGCAAGAAAAAAACATTCATGGAGCACTAATAGAGATTTGCACGTGAAACCTCAGTCAAAATGTTTGAATAAGCTTCAACCCCCAAAATATGCATAGAAATATAAATGATAAAAATAACAAGTGAAAATGTGAGGAATATTCATAAAGGAATTCCTTTTCCACCTGTTTTAAGTGATTATCTGTTACATCGCATCATGTCATGAAAACCGCAGAAACATAAATTGTTTGAGCCTGGGATCAGATCTGTCTGGAAAACTCTGCTAACAGCACACAGGAACTCTAAAGGGAACCTCTGCACAATGCAGTAATTATAATCACTTTTAATTACCAGGAAGCTTTCTTTTTATGATTTCCCCATAGCCCAAACAGTCTTGTGATTTCCCAGAGAGTCTCTATAAAGTCAGTTACAATGAGCAGTGTGAAATGTGTTAAAGAACTAATATGTTTGTTTGTGAAAGTTCCAGGGAGTCAATTGATAGAGTGTTCAGCCAACGTGTCCTTGGTACAGACACAGTGGGTGAACTTTATGAACTATCGCTTGTATATCTTACCTTAGCTCTGCCATTTCACTGTCCTCGATTGAGAGTGATTTGAAGAAATTAGTGTCTTCTAAAGACTGCAAAAAAAGTTATTTTTTTTTCTTGCTTGCTCTTGAGTGTAGAGAAGTTAAAGTGACTGAAAGAAATGATGACATAAAAGAGCTCAACAGAAAATTTAAGAGAGCAGCTCAAGAAGACAGAGTCAAATATTATTATGAAATATGCAATGACCTGGAGTTAGAAAACCAAAAGGGAAGAACACAGTATTTCTTAAGATAAAAGAATTGAAGAAAACATTCAAGCTTTGGGTTGCAATGTTAAAGGATTCTGTGGGCAACAGATTGAATGATGCATTTAATTTTTGTTTTTTTAAATGATGAAAGGAATTCACAGAGCCGGTTTACCAAAAAGAGTTGGTCAGTGTCCAACCATTTGAAAAGGAAGCATATGACCAAGAACTGATGGTACAGGTGTAAGAAGTTCAAGTAACACTGAAGGCATTGGCGTAAAACAAGGTTTGAGGAATTGACAGAATACAAATCGAACTCTTTCAACCAATGGAATCAATGGAGTTCAAGTTGGAATCAGAAGAGGACATGGACCTGGGGATATAATTGCTGGTGTCAGATGGATCTTGATTGAAAGCAGAGAATAACAGAAAGATGTTTACTTGTGCTTTGTTAACTGTGTAAATGCATGTAATTGTATGGCTGACGAGCTATGGATAACATTGTATAGAATGGGTATTCCAGAACACTTGATTGTGCTCATGAGGGACCCATACATAGACCAAGAGGATGTCATCAGCACAGAACAAAGGGATACTGAATGGTTTGAAATCAAGAAAGGTCTGCTTCGGGGTTGTGTCCTTTCACCAGACTGACTCAGTCTGTAAACTGAGCCGATAATCTGAGAATCTAGATTATATGAAGAAGAACATGACACCAGGATTTAAAAAAGAGTCATTAACAACCTGTTAATATGCATACAACAAAGCTTTGTTTTGTGAAAGTGACGAGGACTTGAAATAATTACTAATGAAGATTAAAGACTTTGTTATGGATGGACTCCTTCAATATTGCAACCCAAAGCTTGAATTCTTTCCTTCAGTACTTCAATATAAGGAAAATCCTCACAACTGCACCAATAAGTAACATCATGATTAATGCAGAAAAGATTGAAGTTGTCAAAGACTTCATTTTGCTTGGCTTTTTAATCAACACTCATGGAAGCAGCAGCCAAGAAATCAAAGGACGTATTGCATTAAGCAGATCTGCTGCAAAAGCCCTTTTTTAAGTGTACAACAGCAGAGATGTCAGATTGACTGGAGCCATGGTATTTTTAAATTGCCTCATATGCTTGTGAAAGTTGAACAGTGAATAAGAAAGACTGTAGCAGAATGGATGCATTTGAATTAAGATGTTGTTGAAGAATATTGAATGGACCCTGGATGGCCCAAAGAACAAACAAATCTATGTTGGAAGAACCATAGCAATAATGCTTCTTAGAAGCAAAGATGTTGAAACTTCATCTCTCGTACTTTAGACATATTACCAGGAGGGACCAATCTCGAGAGAAAGAATATCGTGCTTGGAAAAATGAAAGATTGGCAAAAATGAGGGAGACCCCCAATGATATAGATTGGAACAGTGGCAGCAGCAGTGGGCTCAAACGTAACAATAATTGTAAGGATGGTGCAGGACTGGGCAGTTTGTTTTGTTGTGCAGAGGGTCAGTATGAGTCAGAGCTGACTCAACAAGGGACAACAGTAACAAGAAATAAACGTGTACTGAGCACGTGCTCTGTGTCAGGTACTCTCCAGAACATCTCAGATGCTTCTATTCATGAGACCATTGTTGTCATCATCCCCCCCTTTTTTTTTTTCCTTAAATGTTTTATTGTGAAATATGTGATAGTTTACATGGGAGAACATTAGTTTTACATTCATTCTATCGTGGTTACAATCGCCTCCATGCAATCCTTCCCCTGTACCCCCCTGGTCTTCAGCACACAGTCGCTCTCCCTCTCTGGATCTAAAGTCTCCAGTGCTCCATCGTCATCATCCCCTTTTATCAGGCAAGAAAAATAGGGTGCATAGTTGACAAGGGAGTCAAAGAGGGTTTGAACTTAGTTCTGAATCTCAAATCCATGCTTTCATGAAAACCCATGCTTTAATTAACCAGATTCAAGTTGAATAGTATCCTTAGGAAATTAAAATGGAAGATCGACCGTAAGTTGTGATTTGAGGGTTATCTTTTGTCCCAGACTGTAGTGGGGGTAGATACATTCCAGGCATAACATATTTTACAATAGAAACCTTGTCATATAGAATGAGTATATGTATTCAGCAAACATTCGAGCACCTAGCTAACATCTTGCATGTTTTCTTGATTAAGAAATTCATGCTAAGTTCCAAACAGTCAAACTAAAAATAAATATTAAAAGTGCAGCTTGCATATAGTTGGTTGCTACCTGCCTTGATCTTAATGGAGAAGCAATTAGTAAAATAGCATACAACCATTGCTATATGAATGATTAAATTTTAATCTTTGCATGTTGGTGTGCAGCCTGTAGGCATGCACTTGAGTGTTTTCAACTTCTGTGTCTTCACATTTCAAGAGATTAATGAAGTTGCTTATGAATGTGGTTAGTGGAGAAGAAAGCCAATTTACATAAGAATATAATCATATTCATTACATTAAGGGTGGGTGTATGATTTATGCAACTTATATTTACAAACTGGCTCTAACTAATGCAAGTTTTAAAGTTAATCTTTCATGAGTGATACTAGATGAGATCTGCCAAGAAAGCCACATTTTTAGTTGTACTTCATTAAAAACCATGGGGAAGGGAGTGGGTAGTCTGTATGGTTAACAAGATGTTAGCACACTTCCTGTTGTATATTTATAGACTTACTCAATAGTGCTGATAAACTGCAGGAAATATTATCAAAGACATTTATTACCAGATTATAAAATCCTGGATGGTAATTCTCATGTGCCATGTTTTCATGGTGTTGCCATTTTTAAGCGTCAGGGGTTGAGTGAGAGACACCTACCTTGGTGACAGTTAGTAGTTGTTGTTAAGTGCCCTTGAGTCGGTTTCGACTCATAGCAACCCTGCAGGGGTTTCCAAGGAGCGACTGGTGAGTTTGAACTACTCACCTGGTGGTTCAAACCGACCTTGTGGTCGGTCCAGTGCTTATCCTACAGCACCACACCAGGTTTAGAAAAGCATCTTCTTTGTTAAACTCTTTATTTCATTCATGGGCATGTCTAGTTGGGAGGAGGCTAATGGGAATACCCATGGTCCACATCATAGAAGGTTGTTTGTTTGAAATGTTTGCTTAAATTCCTAATAGTTTAAAAACTCAAGTCAGAAACATTTGAAATAGTTTTGGGGATTTCAGACTGTTCATTCCAACCTAGGCTTCTGCATACCTCCTGTGGGTATCTTCTCTAGGACTTTCATTTCCTTATGTTCTGTCTCACCTGCAGAGTCCTCCAATGCTACCCTCTTGACCAATGCGGAGAAGATCGCCACCATTACCACCACACACACCCCTTCTCAGCAAGGGACCCAGGACCCAAGGTCAGGCCTGGCTCTGGTGTTATTTTGTAACAAGGGGGAAGGTGGCTCCTGGCATGGCAATGATTGTTGTTGCTTTGTTCTCAGTTTCCCCATGGCTTACTTTGTATATTTCTTCTCACGTTGGCAGGAACACCACCAAACCAAAGCAGGAATCTCAATTTGAGTTCAAATCTCCCCAGGCCACACAGGTGAGCATTGTTTCTCTTTTTGGTTCTGTTGACTAAACACATTTCCTTTCAGGTTTCTCCACAGCAATTTTTTTTTTTTTTTAACAAGATCTGTTTTTGAAAAGCACCCTCTATTAAATTAAGTCATCTTTTATGAGGTGATATGACAAATACGTACTCACATGTGGTTGTCTAGGAAATGACATTTTCTGTTACAACCTTTGGAAAATATTCCTAGATACACTTTTCTAGGAAAAAGAAAAACTATAAATGTAAGGATTGGTGATCATAAAAAGAGCAAAGTCCCTCGCAATATTCATAAGCCTGTTTATGCCAAGAAAATGTCTTTTTGATGAGATGTTTCTTTTCCTTGTGAATGTCAAGGAGACCCATAGAGCTCAATGCTTGTCACTCCTCATGTTAATGTATGGGGGCTGAATAACATGTAAAACAAACTTGGGAACCATGGTGTATGGTACAGTTAAATAGGTTTCTTTACTACTGGTTCTCTGAGAACCATTAGTACTGTATTCATGATTCTCAACTAAGAAGGGAACCCCTCCTCAGACATCTGGAGGTAACATCTGGTTGTTGGTTATTATACTGGTGAGCACTGCATTTATCAGGCTGGGAGGCTGAATATTCAGTTTGTGTGGAAAGGCATTATGTCATGAAGAACTGACCTGCCCCAAATGCCAACTTCATTCCCTTAGAGAGGGATGCCATTTTGCCAGCTCAGCATAACAGACACTGTTTGGGTAGAGAAGGCTACAAAAATGTGTGTATGGATATAACCTCTCCCAGCATGATGCCGTTTAATTTCTTTAAACAGGAGCAAGATTTTTACACTGTGGAACTGGAAAGAGGAGCCAAGGGATTTGGCTTTAGTCTTCGAGGGGGCCGAGAATATAATATGGACCTCTATGTTCTGCGCTTAGCGGAGGATGGTCCTGCAGAAAGGTGTGGGAAAATGAGGGTAAGTAAGGACTCTGGAGCAGATATAAATAGATCATCTTCAGTGAGTTCTTGATATATATGGCTAGAGCCACTGCGTTCAAAACAATTACATTTTCTACAGATCAAGATCCTGCATGGTTCCCATCCTACTGTACATTTCTCAACTAAAGCAGTTAGTTATGCCTACTAAAGTTAGGAAAGCCCTTCCACCTCCTTGGGATTGAATGAAGGCTTAAACGCATTTTTAAATGTGCATTTTTGAAGGTCATATCCAAGGTATCTGTGCTTAGTTGGAGGCATGCATATCACTAATGAAAATTCCCGTGTACCCCAAATTAAACCTGAGTTTAAATTCCAGTGAATTTTGACTCACAGCACAACCCCATGTGCGTAATAGGTGTCAGTAGAACTGCTGCATAGGATGTTCATTGGCTGATTTTTTTGGCAAATAGGTCTTCAAACCTTTCTTTTGAGGCTCCTCAGGGTGGAACCTCTAACCTTTTGATTAACAACCAAGCATGTAACCCATTTACACCACTCAAAAACCACATGATCCTACAAATACTGACTGGTGAGCTCCATTCATTCTCCAGCTGGTCACCAGCGATCGTAACAGCATCTGCCTTAGCAAAAGGCCAGTGACCCAGAAGCATGTATATGATTTAGGTTGTATAGTAGATAAAGTTGCAGATTTTCAATACACAAATACCCAAAGTTCACTTCGCTCTGTTTAGATGTCTTGTCACTGTTGCTCTATATGAATTTTTCCGTCTTGTGGGCAGATTACATAGTTAAGGAAAAATTTAAACCGTCTGCTCATTATAGGTAGATCATATAGATTGTGATATAACATAAAGAACAATTCAGTGAAATCAACACAGGTCAGGAAAGGAAAAATGGAAATGAAATTGGGCCTGAGAGGCAAGAGGGGAAGGAAATGACCAGAAGGGTAAATAGCTTAAGTATACAAATGCTTTAAAGTATAATCTTGATTTTTTTTTCAGTTTCTTCTGAACTTTTTAATTCATGTTGGTGGGGTTTTTTATGCCATTGAGGAAGTAGACTATGAATACAGTTTTAAACAATGAAATAGCAAAAAATGGTACATAGTAAAAATATTATTTCCATGGTGAACCAATATATCAGTTACTTGTATATCTTTCCTGAAATAATTTGTACCTATACAAGGAAAGACATAAAATAGTGTAAATTCCTTTTGTTTAAAATTTCTAACACATGGGAGATGCTTGCCGGGCCCTGTAATCCCTGACTATGTTTTTAATATAAGGCAGTATCATTATCACAATACTATGTACAATCTATGCATTCTATGTACTTTACAACAGATGTTTTTATTTATTGTCAGAGTTGATCTCTCCATCTCAGTTAGCATATGTATTATAATAAATGAGGTAGTGACTTTTAAAAGACTTGAGCAAAATCACCTAGCTAGTAAGTAAGTGGTTGGCGGTTCAAGCACACCAACAGTTCCTTGGGAACCCTATACAGGGTCGCTATGAGTCGGAACTGACTTAATGGCACATAATAACAACAAGAGGCCTCAGATTCAAGGTTTTTGACTTCAAAGCCAGGGTTTTTTCTCTTTTCCCATCTAGAATATAAGCTTTGTGAGCGCAGGGATCTGGCCTATCTTGCACACCACTTTATCTTTAGTGCCTAGAACAATGGCTCAGTGCTGCAATCAGTCTGTCAGCTCGGGTTACATCCGAAGGTTTGAGTAGGAAAGGGTACACTTCTAATATCCGTCACATGGTAGTTGGCAGGATCGTCCCAGCCTGTTGCTCGGAGCCCTCCCTTGTTTCCTCATCTGGGGCTTCCATAGGGCAACACACAGCTGGTTTCTCTTAGAACAAACATGAGAAAAGAAAAACCTGCTAGTAAGATATAAGCCAACGTAATTTTCTAACTTCATTTCTGAACTGACATCCCATCATGTTTTCCATGTATGCGTTTTAGAAGCAAGTCACTATGTCCAGCCCATGTTCAAAGGGAGGCAATTTCACAAGTCCATGAAGCCGCCTCCTCCAAGATGAACTTCCCTCAAGAATTACTATCCCCTTTTACTGCTTTTTTTTCTCTTTATTTTTATCCTTTCTACATGTATTTTTATTGTCAATTGTCTTTTCCCCATTAGAATTCAATTTCCATGAAAAGTTTATAGAACAGAATAGATGCTCAGTAAATGTTTGTTGAGTCAATAAGCGAAGAAAGGATTTTAGATCTTAAAGGACTTGAAAGAGCTGATGAAACTTCTCACTTTGTTCTCTTGCTTCGGTAGATTGGTGATGAAATTTTGGAGATCAATGGTGAGACCACCAAAAACATGAAGCATTCTCGGGCTATAGAACTGATTAAGAATGGAGGCCGTAGAGTACGTCTGTTTCTGAAGCGGGGAGATGGCTCGGTACCAGAATATGGTGGGTCAAACTATGAAAACATTCCTTCCTTCCCTGGCATGACTCCATGAATTTATCTCCAGAACGGCAGCAGGAAATTCTTTTTGTTTCCCCTATTCACCAGTGTCTTATCAGCCTCTTCACCATGTGATTATTTGCCTCGCTTGTTCTGAAACTTCTACACATTTCATCCTTTTGCTTGCTTACATGGACTGGGGCGTGGCCTAAGACAAGATCTTTATAGCCCCCTTTCTGATTATCAGAGAGAACATTTTGTCTAGTCCGACCAAGAGCGAAAGAATGTTTGCTTGAACTGTGCCAAACTTGTTTCTCAGATCCAATTGTTAGCACAAAATGACTATACTCCTTTTATGAAGCAGGAAAGCAGGTTTCCTGAGTGATATGTTGAGGCACAAATTTTTTATTTTTCCTTTGGTTACTTGATGTTGTTATCTAAGAGGCGTGAAATTTGGAGATGATTTGGGGCTTTGCTGTCTCCTCGTGTATGCGCTGTATACAATTCTTCACCCTTCCCCAGCCCCAGCTAGTCCCTTACCTCAAATCAGACCACCTGAGCCCACGACTATAAGACAAAAAAACAAAAACCCTGTTTGATATTTAGCCATATGTTTTTAAATGATAAAGGGTGAAATAGATTCCCAGTGCTCATCGTGAGGGAAACATGTTACTATACCTTTCCTATGAGGAAAGCCAGGTTATACTTATAGTTTGTCCTATCTTATAAGACATGATTTGCGTAGACAGCAGCGAACTTTAAATAGCTTAGTGTTCTAATGGGAAATATTGTATATTATAATAATTATGTCCTATTTATTTGAAATTGTTTAAAATGGAGAAAAAAAAAAAGAAAAAAAAAAAAAGCTATGCCCTAGATGTAGGGCTTTTTTTCCCAACCAAAGGTCTACAAAAGTTTCTATAGAAACTGTGATTGAATGGTCCCCATATATGTTGGTGCCCTTTATTAGGGATTTATCTGTTACCCACCTCTTTTCGGAAAGTCATCCTGCACAAATTCCCAGTTACGTTTTTAGACTCGATGAGATGCTTCATTCAGAAGTAACTCAAGGAGAAAGAGAGCTCCTTGGAAGTGTACCTTCCCAGGTGTTGGACTTGTGTACAAGTGCAGAGTACAAGGGCTCTAAGGTGGGTCCAGGAGTATCAGCTGAGGCCCCTTTAGATACAGACAACCAACGTGGAGGTAATTTTGACAACAGTTAAGATGTCATGACTATGCACTGTACTAAACCTCTGACCCATAGGTGTGTCGATGTCACTGAAACTTTGTAACATTGTCTCCCTTTTTTTTTTTTTGTCTTCCCTCTGCTTCTGTTGGATGTAATATTTCATTTGAGAGTCATCGTCAGTAACCTGTGTACCTTCTCAAAACCTATGTCTGTTGCACTGAGGATGAAAATCCAATACTAACAAATGTTCTTTGGGCTAAAAATAAAGATCATTTCAGAAATCCATGGTATTTCCAAGAAAGGTTGAATATGCCAGGGTTGTGCTGCTGTACTGTTTCCATGTATCATTTGGACGAATTCTCTCTAATTCTATTGATTAGAGTTCACAAATGGGTTATAATATGTTAAGTTCCAATATTTTTCTGACTTGATTGGAACCTGCTTCTCTGTGAGGCTATTTTTGTAATGAGTTTTTTGTACTTAATTTAACTGCCGCGGTCTTGGGGGGAGGGAGGGAACTTTGTTCTTTTGTTGTTTATTGTTAATGCTCTCCTATGCCAGCCTGTCATTGTTCCAGTTGTTTGAAAAAAAAAAAAAAAAAGGAAAAACAAAAAAAGGATGCATCCATTGTCTGGGTTCTCGAGTCACCAATGGTTGTCTAAAAACGCCACTGTTCTGACTGCAGTCTCTGCAGCCTTATTTGAGTGTTGCCTTAGACTGTCTAACTGGACAAATAAACTCTCTTTGCCCTATGTTAACAAATGCAGATTTTTTTTTCTTTCCTCTTTGTTATAGGGAATCTAAACGTTCAACTTTTTTCTCTTTCTCTCTTTCTCTTTTTCTCTGACTGTTCTTGGTGCTGGGCCCTCCCTTCCACAGCGATGATACCTCCTAATATCGCTGCATGTATGAGAAATGAAAAGCTCGGGGAGGCTTGCTTCTACCTTATGGGCCATAATCAAACTACGGTTTGTAGCTCAATCAATACTAGGTGTTTCTGTGCTGTGGCCTAATTTCCTCATTGCTTCTGCTTAGCTCTATTTTGATATGTTTGGCAATTCCATTCTGAGCACCCTGCCTTCTTTGAATTGTAAGTACACCGCTAACTCTGTTGAACGACTTGCTCTCCCTTGTCTTAAACTAGGTGTAAGGAACAGGAAGGTTAGGCGTTAGATTGTGCTCGTTCTAGTAGCCCACCCAGGACTTAGAAAGACCCTCATTTCACAGAGCTCTAGCCTAGGTTGCCAGGACTGTACTAGACAGACCGATAAGATTTCCTAGTTGGTCAGATATCTGTCTGCAAACTCATGGCCACATCGTGTTCACAGCCTGTTTTGTAAGTAAAGTTTTATTGGCACACAGGCGTGTTCATTTCTTTATGTATGGTCTATAGCTGCTTTCCCTTTGATGGCATAATTGAATAGTTGTGACAGATTGCATGCCCCACAGAGCCGAAAGTTGTTATTATATGACCCTTAACAGAAAAAAGGTTCCCAACCTCCTCTCTAGGGTCCATTCCTGCTTTTGTTAAAACCTAGTCTAGGTGTTGAGAAGTCATGCATGAAATAGACTATTTAATGTTGACCTTGTCACCTCATAAGAGACCCTTAAAGGAGGGTCCCCACAAATCCCCCATCTCTAACTGTCACTCCCATCCTGTCCACATTTCAGGGCCCCTTGCCTGAAACAGTATAATGTATGTGACTTGGGCTTCATAGCAGCAAAGTGTTCCTGCTTCGAAGAGAGTTCCCAGAAACACAGGATACCATTTGAACTATTCCTAGTGTCATCCCAGATACTTTAGAGTAATAAATAGGAATCCCCTCAGCTGCCCTGCTTTCAAATCTCTACGTATCTTGATGGTATAACAATGTATACCATAAAGAAAAGTGCCTCTAAAGATTTTGTCTGAGGCCAATGGGTACCTGACATACTCTCTTCCCCTCCTTTTTGTCTGTTGTTCTTAAGTACCGTCAAGTCGATTCTGACCCATAGCGAAGGGTTTCCGAGGAGCAGCTGGTGAGCTTGAACCGCCAACCTTGCAGGTCAAATGACTTTGCAGTCTGGCACATTAACCCACAGCACCACACCAGGACTCCTTTTGTCTATTAGAAGACTGCAAATTTTAAACACAGTTCTTTACTTTTAAACAAAAGTATACAATTGTTGAATGGATCCTCATGTCGTGACATTTAATCGTCACTGTCTGACCTTGCTTTTGTTGTTGTTAAGCGGTGTTGAGTCAGTTCTGACTCCCAGAGACCCTATATAGAGTTTCCCAGGAGCAGCTGGAGGTTCTGAACCTTCAGTCCAGTACCTATCCTACATTGCCACACCAGTGCCTTGCCTTTTTGACCCCCTTTACTCACTGGGCCCTGGATTATTGCTTTAAAATCAGTGTATACCTTACATTCATTGAAACGCATAAATCCTGAGTTCAGAACACTAAATTATTTACCTCTATATAAACCCCTTTTTATAATAGATACAGTATTTTCCAGATCAAGCTAATTTCCATACCTCTAGAAAGTTCTCTTGTGCCCTTTCAGGCCGATATCCCAGTTTATTCTTAAGCATATGCAAATGTTCTTTAAAGGGAAGAGTATGTTCACTAATGAGGATGGGGAAGAAGGTTGGGAAGGGGAAGAGGGATGGGGGTGGGGAAAGAAGATGACTAAGGAAGTTATGCTTCCAGATAAAGTATTTGGATTATGTCTTTAAAGACTAGAATTATGACTGGCTTAGAGCTCTTTAATGATCCGTATCTAGAGGATAGAGACTAGACTAGGTGCTGACAGCCATTAAGTACTAGTTAATAACCCTAACAAGTTGCAGTTCTTTTTAGTTAACTAAGATTCAGGGGGCTTCAGGTCTGACTGCTTTAACAGCTGTTTGTTTCTTGTGACTAATGGGATCTCACGTGTGGGATTGGCGGCAGGGGCTGAAGTGTCCTTCATACCAAACTGTGGCTCTCATTTATTTTCCTTGCAGACCCCAGCAGCGACCGGCACGGCCCCCCAACCGGTGCACAAGGTGTTCCGGAAATGAGAACCGGACCATCTGACCGCCGACAGCATCCACCATTGGAGTCCAGTTATCCACCCGATCTTCACAAATCATTACAACATGGGGAAAAGCGGGCACACGTGAAAGACCCAAAAGGCAGCAGAGAACATAGCAGACCGCCCAATGAACACCACACGTGGAATGGAACTTCTAAAAAAACCAACTCTGGGGTGTGCCGACCCAAGGACCGGGCACCAGAAGGACGAAGAGAAACACCACCTGAGCGGATGGTGGCCAATGGACCCAAGCGGAAGACTCCAGAGAAGTGGAGGGAAGGCACTCGCAGCGCTGACAATACTTTGGAAAGGAGGGAGAAGCACGAGAAGAGAAGAGAGGTTTCTCCTGAGAAGAGAAGAGAACGGTCCCCGACCCGCAGAAGAGACCCTTCGCCCAGCCGTCGGAGGAGGTCTCTGGAAAGACTCTTGGATCAGAGAAGATCTCCAGAGCAGAGGAGAGCAGGCTCACCTGAACGGAGAGCAAAGTCCACCGACCGGAGGCGAGCCAAGTCTCCCGAGAGGAGGAGAGAGCGGTCCCTGGAGAAAAGGAACCGAGAGGACAAAGTCAGCCACCGAGAGAGGGAAGAGGCGAGTCTGAAACAGGAGGCTAGCAGAAGTTCCAGACATCCCCCGGAGCAGAGACGGCGACCTTACAAAGAATGTAGCACCGACCTCAGCATATGAGACTCTTGAGTCATATTACAACCTTTACTGTGTCAAAGGTTTTAAGAGGAAGGTCACAAACCTGGAATATTTTTTAGTTTCTTAACCTGATGAAGCATCTGATACATGAGAATCCTATGAATTGCAACAAACATTTTATGCATTTGAAATCTTATAAGGAAAAAAATTATATATATATGAAAAGTGTTGTGCCTGATGTATAATATTAAAGAAAGTATTTTTAAATCCATACTTTTTTTGGATATTATTTGCCAAATGCTAGCCCAAAGGGATATACATTTTGTTTCTACATAACCTGTAGAATTGTCGAGAATTATTCCCTTTTTGTCTTGGGCAATCTTTCTCTCTCCTGGTTAAATGGGGTTTTAATTTTCTCTTAAGTAAGGGAAATTAAGTTTAATTCGATATAGACTTCTTTAGTGATTTAGTGCTTATACTGTAGTTAGGGTTTTTTTGTAAAAGAGCAAAAGACAAAATTATGTTGGTAAAACTTGAGGACTCTTAGCATGGTTGATCATAAAACTAAGCAAACTCTTTGATGAGACTACTACTGCAAATGAAGGATATTTATAGAAAAGCTACACAGCACAAAGATATTTTATGTTCTTGACTTAACTGTCGGTTCAGAAAACAGTTTGTACTCTCCTTGGCCTTACAAAGGCACAGAGGCAAAAAGTTTGGCCACCATTACCCAGACCTAGCCCTGGGACAAATGGACGAGCTCATTGGCATCGCCAACATCAAATAAGATCTCATTAAGGCAGTGACATCTTAGCTTCGCTCAACTCCTAGAAGAACGGAAACTAAATGCCTTCTGTGTTGTCTGATTTGATGCTGAACAATGGATGAAACGGGGACAGTTGTACCCAGTGCAGGGGAAGTATACAGATAACCAATACAGAAAGAATGCTCCTTCTGTTTTCTGTAAACCAGTAGTTGTCTTTGCTACATTGGAGATAAGGACAAGAGCTGTAGAGTAAGGAACCTCAGTTATTTAAAGAAGTGAAGTCTGGAGGTACTCATTCTTAGAAAGGCTGATTTCAATTTGAAATCATACGAAAAAATCTCCAGGAGGATTAAGTAATGGATTAGGACGGGATCCCAGTAACTTGAGATCTGGTGGGGAAATCTCTGTTCTCAGGACCCTGTGTCCTTTGCAGTGGGACAAAACGGTAGCATTTTCATTTTATTCAATGACTCGGTTTTTTTTGTGATCCCACACGAGGTATGGTTGGGTCTGCTGTAGCCTTGGGAAGTGGTTTAAATGGATAACTGCCTAGCTGAGCCAAAACGTTTGCTTGTACTTGTTGGACCACTAAAGCAAATTGCTGCTTTCAGTGCATTGTGTATTTCCGTAGTACTGTTTTGCATTTTCCATACAAACACATAGCTTTGCGAGTCAATCACTGTTGTTCCCATGATACTGTAAAAAAAGAAAAAGTCAAAAAAAAAAAAAAAGAAAAAGAAAACCAGCCAATCATTGTGTGTACAAAGATAAAAATTGTAATTATAGAGCCTATTGAAAAAAAAAAAATTGTTGCCTTTTTTCTTGTATAAAAGAGAATTTATGATAAAAATTTAGCTGTGAGGATTGTGATACGTGTTTATATTTCTCAACATGGAACAAACTGATTTGTGGGGGTGCATATTAATGTAAACTAAATCAGGTATGTAAAGCTGTTTTAAAATGGGAGATGATATAAGAAATTCTCTAAAGCTTTCGTTGGATTGAGTATCATCATTTTCTCCATGGTGAGCTTACTTGTGAATTATTAATCACTCATGTGCAGTCTCTGTTCCTCACTATTTTATTTCTTGCAGTCTGCTCGCTCTGAACTTAATGCTCTTTCGGTGTTGATGAAAAGCAGTATGTGGGCCAATCTTTTTGTAAAACATTATGCATATATAAATACTACATTGTTTGTAGCTTTATTTGTCTTATGGGTTTATCCACAACATTAGAATGAGTAGCTGTAGTTGTGGACATTCACAAAACAAGTTCCTTTCCTGGAACAGACACAATGTACATTCTGTAGCTAAAAGGAGAAGGGAGGAAACCTGTGAATGCTATTTTTATTACCAAATAAATTTTTCCATACAAATAATCACTGAGCTGTAGTAGCAAGGTTGAGGAAGAACACAGTTGAATAATAATTTTCTTTTTCATCAATTGCCTGAGAGCCAGTTTGGAGCTTTTATTCCTAAGGTTCATCTGCTAGATTTTTTTTTTTTTTCTACCTAGACAAATCTGTGATGTTAAATGACTGATGCTCTCAATCATGGTTCATATTTTGAAACAAATGAAATCAAGGTAAATTTTGGAGTACATTCTGAAGCTGACATCTCATTGTCTTAATTGTTGTGAGAGGTGATATTTGACATTTCAAAATCTGTGTGCTACCCACTTAGGCTTTTCTCAGTCTGTAAAGATTTTTGGTGTGGCATTTTCACCTGAATGCCACACTTCAAGTTTGCTTTGGAAGTATTGTACTGTACAGGACTATGCATTAAGCAAAAAGATAATAGATTTCTCTGAACTACTGTAACCTTAAATTGAAAACTGATTCATGTGAGCCTACTTTTCCTAATTCCTACTTCCTGTAAATGTCTTGATGAGAGATGATGGATGAGTATTTTATATGATTAAATCAGATCACTTCGGAATTTTCCCCTCCCCACTACACAGTTGATGCCTGAAAGAGTGTTGGGGCGAGAACTCTCAACACCCTACTTGTATTTTTTAAGTTTCTTTTGTGAAAGATTTTTTAATGCATTTTTACTGTAAAAATACATGGAAATGTATGCATTCCATAATCATGATTGCTTCTGGATTTGTATCTTGTCTATGTTGTCTCAAATGCATCCGGGTCACAAAATCAATCAAGAATCCCTTGACTCCGACTCAAAATCTCTTACCCACCGTTCTGCTGAAAAAGGAATTTGGCACCAGGCTTTGCAGTAGTATACTACCGTAATCGAGTTCACTCTGACTCATAGCAACCCTACAGATCAGACTAGCACCTCTTTCTCCAGCCATGTTGAGTGTGAACCCCTGCCCTCTCAATTAGTAGACATGCAGTTCACCACAGTACCACCAGGACTCTGCAATCTTGTGAAATAAAACCTACTGCAATCCCTCTGTATTTGAGTCCGTTTCAACTCAGAGACCCTATATAAATAGCGTTTTTGAGACTAAGTCTTTACTTGAGTTGTGAAGTGCCTTTGAGTCAGTTCTGACCCACAGCGACCCTGTGTAGGGTTTCAGAGGAACAGCTCGTGAGTTTGAACCACCAACCTTGTGGTTCAAACTGATTTTGCAATTCAGCGCATTAACCCACAGTGCTACACCAGGACTCCTTACTTGCGTAGACAGCCTCATTTTTCTCCTGCAGAGCTATTGGTGGGTCTGAACTGCTGACCTTGAGTGGCTTGTGGGCTTGATTGCTAACCATGAGATGAGCAGCTCAGTGCCTAACCCACAGCACCATCAGGGCCTCTTCACAGTAGTATAGTAGCTTCCTACTCAGAGTGTGGTCTGTGAACTAGTTGACAACATCACTAGGGAGCTTGATAAAAATGCAGAATCTCAGACCCCACTTGACCTTCTGAACATGAAATATACTTGCCTTGATCATCTAGTGTTGCTGTAACCTAAATCCCACAAGTGGATGGCTTAAATAAGCAGAAATTTATTCTCTCACCATTTAGGAGGCCGGAAGTCGGAATTCAGAGCTCTGGCTCTGGAGAAACATCCTTGTCTCAGCCTCTGTAGGCCCAGCATTCCATGGAAGTCTCCATGTGTCTTGGCATTAATCTCTCCCAGGATCTAGGAGCTTCACAATTCATGGATGATAGGTCCAAAGGACACACTCCACTCCCAGCTGTGCTTTCTTGGTGGCAATAGGTCCCTCTGATCTCTGTTCTTTTATCTTTTGTAAGTATAAGGTGTTGCAGGCCATACCCCAGGGAAACTCCTATTATGGATCATGGCTACAATGGTGTTTAGGGTATTACAGCTACCCTAGTCCTCTTCCTGGTTTATCACATCAGATCACATGGGCAGTTACCACATAACTGCTAGACTACTTCATTACATAACTGCTGAACCAGTGAGAATGTTGGCCCAGCCAAGCTGACACATATTTGGGGGGACAAAATTAATTCATGACAGTGCATTTAACAAGATCCCCAGGTGATTCCTATGCATGTGGAAGTTTGAGAAACAGTTTATTATAGAACTCTGGATCTCAATCAAACCCTTCCAATCCCGGGCAACTTCCTTAACCTCTTTTTACACCTCAGTTTCCTCATCTGTCGTGGGGCTTGCTTCATAGAGTTGGAGAGAATAAATGCAAGATGCTTAGCATGCCTCAGAGCTTCATAAAAAAGGGCTCAATGAATGATAGACAAAACTTGTCTGAAGGAGGATTTTCTACATAGCAAGTGGTCGACTTTTTCATTGTCTTGGTTTATCTTACAAACCAACTGAAAATAATTATTTTCTCACTCCATTAACATGGGAAAAAGCCTTCTGTTTTAATTATGAAATTGGTAAACGATTATGAAACCAAATGTTGTGTTGCAAAAGGTAGGACAAAAATAGTCTCAAAGTGTAACTTTTGGGGATAAATCTGCACGTGGAGTTGGACATACTCCAAAGCCATAGTGGATAAAAAGGGTTAATCAACTAGTGATTTAGTATGTCTTTGGTTTTGATCTTGTAGTGTTTCATGCTGTTTGGATCGCCTTCACACATTGTGACTAATTTTTTTAGTATTTCCTACTGGTTGGAGTTTTCCTACAAAACCTAAGTTCCTGGATAGTCTAAAGTCTATTGGGCTTCACAGTCCACCTCTTTTGCTATATTTTGTCTCCAGTGTGGTAATTATGGACACTGATCTCTTCCCTAGTATCGCTTTTGTAAAAGATGGCATCTAAGAAATGGTTCCTGGCTCAGCTGAAAATTGGAGCATTTGTAAACGCTTACTTCATGTTGAGTTCTTTGTCCACCATAAGTAGCCATACTGAAAAGAAGGTGATAAGAATCAATTATAGTGGTCAGGGTTTTTCCTGCTAGAGGTCAATCATCTCAGACTATCTTGGAGGGACTGCTGTATCGGGCAAGGAGAACAGTGTCAAGTCCGTCCAGGTGATTATTAAATTATAATCAATCAGCTATTGGCATCATTTGTGCTCAGCACTCTAAGCTCCTCACAATTTCAGAATGCATGTTTTTAAAGATAAGTCAATCAACAAAAGTGGTCTCTTTATCAGCTCTATATTTGGGTGTATTTGCATGGTGAGTCATCTGTGAGAGAAAAAAAAAATGGCCACTTCCACTGTGGACATCTGGTATGGCCATGTCTTGTGCTGTAGTTATTGTGAGGGGCAGTAAGGGTAGGGAAGGTTATGCCTTCTCACTTGCATCACTGTAGGCAAGGAACAACTGTTAAGCAAGGTTTTATCAACCAATCCATTATACAGTAAAAACTCAAGTATTGAATGTACCTGCTACCCTTTATCATCTGCCACCTGCCTTAAAAGTCTTCATTGTCATCCTCTCTCTATGATATTGGCACCTAGCCTGGAACTATAAACACCACACCAATAAGAGCTATCCATTTATGTAAATTTATTCTTGAGGTAACTTCTTTGATCTCACTGAGTTAGAGCGGAAAGAAAAATGTAGCTCAGATTGCTAATTTCTCTGGGTGTAGCTGTGTGGTGCTGTGGGTCAATGTGCTGGACTGCAAAATTGGTTAGAACTACAACATCAGTCATTCAAGCTCACCAGCCACTCCTCGGAAACCCTATACAGGGCTGCTATGGATCAGAACCAACTTGGCAACACTTAGCAACAATAACATATATAACAAGCGCTGGTGTAGTGCTATAGCATAAGCACAGGACTGCAAACCTCAAGACTGGCAGTTCAAACCCACCAACTGCTTGGAAACCCTACACAGATTCACTGAGTCAGAACCATTTTGTTGGCAAACAACAATATGATAGACAAGGGTCATTACTAAATTATCCTTTACATACCTATTGAAGGGCAATTCTGCCAGGAACTGGGTGGGGGTAAGAAGACTTGATTCGTTGCTTTAAGAGCTTACAGCTTAGTTGGGGAAGACACATAAATCATAGATACCAAGAAGGGGCACAGGGTCCTGGGATCATAATTAGTAGGGAATATAGCCAGGTTAAGAAATTCTGGTGGTGTCATGGTTAAAGTGCTCAGCAACTAAACCAAAAGATCAACAGCTCAAACCCACCAGCCACTCTGTAAGAGAAAGATGGGGCAGTCTGCCACAGTATAGACTGTTGGTGATGTTTTGTTGTTAAGTGCCATTGAGTCAGTTCTGACCCATAGAGACCCTGTATAGGGTTTCCCAGGAGTGCCTGGTGAGCGTGAACTGCCAACCTTGTGGATCAAACTGACTTTGCAGTCCAGCGCATTAACCTACAGCGCTACACCAAGTGCTGTTTAGTTTTTAACTCATAGTGACCCTGTATGTGGTTTCTGAGAAGCAACAGGTGAGTTTGAACCACCAACCTTGCAATTCGATTGCAGCTTTGGAAATTCTTTAGGGCAGCTCTCTGTTCTGTAGGGTTGCTATGATGGGATTGACTCAGTGGCAGTGGATTTTCTGTTGTTCAGCCAGGTTGAGGAAGGTTCTAATTAAGCTGGGGTCAGAAGAAAGAGAAGGGAGTTAATAAATAGGTGGAAGAAGGAAGAAAGTACTGCTTGAGTCACACAGTCCTGATAGCACCACTGTTAAGTCCTCAGCTGTTCACTGACTGTTCAACACCCAATGGCTCAGTGGGACAAAGACCTCAGGATCTGTTTGTTCTATGAAGATTACAGCCTAGAAAACCCTATGCGATCTGTCAGGTGTAGTCACTAGGAGTTGAAAATTGCCTCCAGGTTTCCTAACAACAGGCTGAGGAGTCACAAGTGTAAAGACCTGGGTGTGAACAGGGGAGTGGGGGACAGGGGAGCGAGGGCGGGGAATCCAAATCAGCAGGAGTTCCAGAGGCAGGTGGCCGCAATGAGAAGTTTAGACTTGCAGTAATAGGAGGCCATGGAAGAGTTTTAACAGAGCCCTCAGTGAACT